TGGGATATAGGAATGTTGTGATTCTTTGGTTAGTTTGTTAGGTTTATGTGTCTTGAAGCACTGAGAATGTCAATGAGATTTATTAGTGATAAACTTTAAGATGTTTTACAATGTAAACCCAGCTTAAGCTCATGCATTGTTATAATAACTATGTGACTAGTCGTTTTTTTTCTACGCTAGTATAATTGTATAAGGCATAATTATGTGATATCGCCCTGCAATTTTTATCGGATTCGTATCTACTTATTTTTGCTGGAAATTCATTATTTCCAATACATCGTTTATGGTCATGAAAATATACGTTCATACGCCGAATAATTAACGCACGTTGTGTACAATAACTCAAGTTCGGATCGGATCGGATTACGAATTTTAGCATCGGATCGGATCGGATTTTATAAACATTTTTTCTGATCGGATCGGATTGCTTTTTTCATTTTCTGATTGGATCGGATTCGGATTGATAACTTAGACAAACCATCGGATTCATAGAGGTCAATCCGACCCGACGCACACCTCATGCGGTATATGCCAAAAACGGGAAAATACAAATAGCTTCCTCAAAGGAAAGGCTCGCCTTGGGGAAGCTGAAATTAAAAAATTGCTCGAAGAAAAAGACTAAAAAATGCAGTGATCTTCGAAGAGTATCTGTGAGAAAAGAAGTTTGGCCATCATAATATATTATTGTTGTTCCATTTTCAGCTGCTTCCCGTCTTCGTGAGTCCGAAATATTTACAAATAAACTAGGGTACCTGCAAGGTAGGGATTGCTGCGGGCATTAAAAGCATATTTGCTTTTAATTTGCTTTTTACAGTAAAGAGCACAAATTATATCAAGCACAGTGATTACTCGCAGCGACTAATGCCGCTGTGAATGGAACCGTTTATACAACTTTTCCAGTAGAACTAATAGATTTAAAAATAGCCCGCTTTTATATGCTATTAACATTTTTAATACTATGAACAACAATTAGGATAGTAAATAATTGTAATTAAATTTTTGATACTGTTGTAATTTAACTTATGTTATTGTATGTAGTTATAAATCCAGTAATAATAATAATAATAACTGAGAAGAAGCAATATACAGGGCCGTAGCTAAGCATGCATAGTTGGGGGGAGGTGTAGGCCAAAAATTTCCGAATGACGAAATATTTCATGGCATACGAAGCCACGAAGGTGTTTGCGATCCGGAAAATTAAAACGCAATTTACAAACAAAAATACTCATATTTTACGCACAGACATTACAGAAGCGTGCAGTTCCGTACAGAAGCGTGCAGTTCCGTAGGAAGTTCTTTATGATAGGGGGTGGCGAGGGCCGAAGGCCCGCGGAAATTTTTAAATTTAGAGTCTCTGAAATGCCATTTCGTGGACTTTGGGGGAAGTTTTGACAGAATTCTGATGGTCAGAAAACAGAGTTTTAGCACGTCGAAATTTACAATTAATTTGCTTACAATTTAGAAGAACTAAATGGGCGAAGAGGCGTATATGGGTAATACGATTCTTTGCGGTTTGTCATGGGTAATGTAGCCGCTTAAAATTAATCAATTGTCAGTATTTTAAAGATATATTGAAGACTGCCCCCTCCCCTCCCCCCGTTGCTACGGCCCTGGGAAGTAATAAACCGGAAAACATTTACCGATCTACGATTTGTTAAATGTTATCCATGTAAATGCCGTGATTTTGTAAATCAGTTTATGATGCTGACAATACATGCAATTTTATAATATTTTCTCTGTTTAAACAACTAAAATTTTGTTATACTATTGCTGCCGTAATTTTCTGAATGACCAACCTGATTTTCCGAATATGTTAATTCTAAAATATTCATACCCCCTTCGCTACGGCCCTGGCAATATATATTGAAGTAGCAAAGACCAGGGGTTAAGGGGCGATCAGAGGTGACAGATATTAAACATGTGCGTCTCATTGACATACAGCTAGGTAAGTTAGATCAGATTTCATATCAAGTCTGTTTACTGCTAGGCGCATTTACCACATTATGTATAGACTATATACACAGATTTATCACACTAACAAACCAAACTTTATAAAAAATATAGAACTGACAGTGGCCAAAGTCCAAAACAAATGTAAGCGTAATATTAGACTTGAAAAAGCTTTAGAAATTCGATAAAAATTCGAAGAACTCGAGCGAGTTTAAAATTTGTGTTCTGCGCATAGAAAGCGCGCACGACCACAATTCCATGCGCTAAATAAAATTTAGTTCAAAACCCCCTCTCTGCACGTATTAGGCTGCTGTTACGTTCGCTCGCTTCAGGCTTGCTCGCTGCGCAGCAATAATAAAACATCAGCCTAGACCTGGGCCTTCTATTTTTATTATTTTTTAATATTCAGCGCTTTTTCACATGAAAAGACTGGGACTAAGTGATTTGGGGGCGGGCGCATGCTACTCGGAAATCGACCAAACCTGCCAAAGATACCTGCCAAAGCCAGCCGAGTAAAGGCCTAGGTCTAGGCTATAAAACATTGAATTCGATTCTCGCAGGATATGAGGAATTATTAAGACCTCGGTTTGTGTTCTCTTCCACAGCCTTCGCCTTCGAAAGCCTCATATCCTACTCGAACTCATGCAATACTTATTTAACATACTCACCTAATACATTGAATTTGAATACGAGAAGACTTCCAATGGTTGGACCACATACTTCGCCAATACAGTAGAGACCTTCGAAATATAGAAATGCTTTTGCACGATTTTCGTTGGTAGTACACTTTGTCACGGCTCCATAGAGCACTCCAACTGTTCCTTCACCTATACCACTTATAAATCTCCCAAACAAAGGAAAATATCCATTGACGGGTATCGAGTACAGAACATTACCAAATAACTTCACTAAACCACACATAACAACGATGGCCTTTGATGCTTGAAATTTAACTTCTAGAAATCCGATAAATGGTGCGAAAACCAACGTCCCAGCTGAATAAGCAGCTAAGGTGAAACCAAGAAATGTATTTGTCTCTCCAAGATTCTTCATGTAATACCAAGCAGTTGGTAGGATTAGAAATTCTTCCACACCATCCAGTAGGAGACGAAAAGATAAATAGATGAAAACTAGTCTGTTCATCGAGGTAAAATTTATCTGAAACCGGTCTGTGAGTGGTCTATTAAATATAAGATACGAATGAAAAATGTTGAGAATATTGACAATACGCAATTTATTTTACCTTATTTTATATACTGTAAATTTCTAAGAGTTCAACTCCAAAAGTGTTATCATGTCCCCAAAACGGTGAAAGAATAACATTTCTGGGCTTCAAAAACGGCCGGTCACCGATCAATGCATGACCGCCGATCGATTCAGTTAGGACATTGACCTTAGTTTATTC